TGACCACATTACAATCACTACAGTGGGCTACATTGCCTAAGGTACTGTTGAACTACTTGAGTGTTGTTTGAGTTGCACTCAACTGTGCAAGTGGAGACTATTCCATCACGTGTCTAACTTGTGCCTTTCAAATGCTGGATGGGTGTTGGGGAGTCAGGAGGCAAATCACTCACAACAGTATTCTCAACCTCCTGACCTGCTCACATAGCCACCATATTTACACAGTTAGTCCAATTCATTTCTGGTCAATGCTACCTGCTGTGATGTTCACAATGATGTTAATACCATTGAATATTAGGGACTGAGTTGGATTTTATTTTGTTAGACACGGTCATTGACTGTCACTTGTGTGGCTTGAACGTAACCTGCTACTTATCTGCCCAAGTCTAGACCTTGACCAGGTCTTGCTGCATTTGGACAGCAGCTTCAGTATTTGAGACTAGTCCTGAATAATGTACAGCGAACATCCCCAGTTCTGACTTCAGAATGGATGGAAGTTCACTGATGAAGTGGTTGAAGATGATGGGGCACAGGAAACTGTTACCAGGTCCTTACTTTTCTCTCATTGCCACTGAAACCACTCCACAGAGGCTGGTATCCTGTCATGGGACTGAAATGGTGATGATGGTGTCTGAAACTTTTATCTGTATTTTTTTTTAATGCATATTGTCTATCAGATACAATTCCATGAGTATAATTCCATGAGTATCTATGTCACTGTTGCCTGGTTAGTCTATGAGGCAGGTCCCTTAGTTTTGGCAGTAGCTCCCAGATTTTAGCAAAGAAGATTTTGCAGAGTCGATAGGGCTGAGTTTACCGTGTCATTCCTGTTGCCTAGATCAATGCCAGGTGGTCTGTCCGGTTTAATTCTTGGTTTTTTAAGACTTTGTAGTAGTTTGGTGCAACTAAATGGCTTGCGAGGCTATTTCAGGTCAGTGAGAGTCAACCACATTGCTGTGGGTTTGAACTTGCATGTAGGCCAGACCAGACACCGGGTGTTGTGCCTGGGAGTAGATGCTGGAGTGCACATTCAAGAAACTAGGAGTTCATAGTCCCAGGAAGGGAAGGTGAAGTACCAGAATATTAGCAGTTGTTCAGTCAGTCTGTTACAAGTCAGTTTTGAATAAGTTTTGAAGCTACATCTTTAAAAGAGAATGAGTTGGAATCTTGTGATGTCTAATGAGATTTGGTGATGCACAGCATAACTAACTAAAATTTGAGGGGTTTCTAGGAATCTGTGAGATCTGTTTTGACCGCAGGGCCCTGTGGGGATTTGATGGTGTTACTCACATTACCTAAGGTTAATTCTAATTGGCTGTCGGAATCTAATTTGTATATGTTACCGTTCTAACTTTGTAGTTGTGTGTTATGTGTTCAAAACCATCAAATATTGTGGGTTTATTCTCATAGTAAGTGCCTTGGATCTCAGATTTGTCAACTATAAACAAAAGAGCTACTGGTCCCTAGTCAGATTATAACATAAATTTGGCAGTTTGGTTTGGGATTGTAACAATGGTCAGTACACCTCTGCCTGTAGTGAACAGTTGCAGAGACATATTTAGTATGATCCATCAGGCATACGCATTACATACCTGGCATCAGACTCACACCGAAATTCTTTGTGTGGCAGACAAAATGCATTTTTGAATTGATGACCGCATCCTTTAGTGGAGAATATCATTTGGAATGAAGTAGCTAACTTCAGCAGTTGCTCAAATATTTGAGACAGACTACTCTCCCAAGATAATTTGAGGTGGACTCGACACTTTTCATGACAAAAGTGGCTACTTTGGGTCAATTCATAAGTTAGCACGATATACAACAAGGAATGATCTGAGCAGGGTGGTTATTTCCTGCACAGTAGCTGTGATGTGCCCTGCATCAGGACCAAACTTGCACTGTGAGCAAATGGCATGGGCCCTATTTATGAGATTGCTGATTTGGTCAACCTTATGCTGTGTGCAACTGAAGGAATCCCATACGGGTGAATATTGGGCAGTAAATGTGAGCTTATTGTCGACTATAGTTGAGTACCCATTAGTAGATTTCTTAACTAGCACATCAAGGAAAGGGAACTTGATTGACTACTCCAACTCAAAGGATGGAATCCATTAAAGCGATAAATTCTTCACTGCAGCTGTGGGTTCAGTTATAGCAGATGTATCATCTATGTCTCAGAAATATGCAAGTGTAGGAGGTTCAAGGATGTTCCATCAAAGAAGTGCTTCTTGTGGAAACTGGCAAAGATATTAATGAAAGCTAGGCCTAGAAGGGATCACCTGGCAATCTCATCCATTTAGACTTAGGTAATATCATGAAAGCTGACATCATCTGTATGAGTTGCTAAGTTCATAAAATTCCATAAGTACAGATTCAGACAATGGCAGTGTATCTAGTAGGGATGTAAAATACTAAACAGATAATTGATAACGCTTAAATGAGATTTTTTTAAAAAGCCACAGCTATGTGACTTTTTTTGGACAGGCATTAGCAATCATAGAATCAAGGAAGTGCTAAGGTACAGAAAGAGGTCATTTGACGCATCAAGTTTGCACCGGCTCTTCAAACGATCATCATTGACTAGTGATAATCTCCTGCTTTTTTCCCATACCCTTGCACATTATTCTTATCCAATGCCCTCTTGAATACCTCAATTGAACCTGCCTCCACCACACTTCCAGACAGTACATTCCATATGATTACGTTGTTACAGTTGTTCCTGTAGATTTACCCATTGCTGTTTTTAATCTTTGATTTATTGTTGTCACACATGCCTAGATACAGTGAAAAGTTTTGTTTTATGTGCAGTACAGGCAGATCATACCATACAAAGCGCATAGGGTAATCGAATAGAGCAAGGAGTACAATGTTATGTCTGCAGAGAAGGTGCACAAAGAGTGAGATCAACATTAAATTTAAAATTTGAGAGGTCCATTCAGTGGCGAAGAAGTTGTTCTTAAATCTGTTGGTATGTGTGTTTAAGTTTTTGTATCTTCTGCCTGACGGAAGCAGTTGAAAGAGATTATAGCCAGGGTGGGAGTGGTATTTGATTATGTTGTCTGCCTTTCCAAGGCAGCAAGAAGTATAAGTAGAGTCAATGGATGGAAGAATGGCTTGTGTGATAGACTGGGCTGTGTTCTCAACTCTCTGCAGTTACTTATGGTCCTGGGAAAAACAGTTGCCACACCAAGCCATGATGCATCCGGATAGAATGTTTCCTATGGGGCATTTATAAAAATTGGTAAGAGTCTTTACAGACATGCCGAATTTCCTTAGCCTCCTGAGGAAGTAGGGACACTGTTATGGCTTCTTGATCATCGCATTAATGGAGGCGGACCAGGACAGATTGTTGGTGATCATCACTTCTAGGAACTTGATGTGCTCGACCATCTCCACCTCAGCACCATTGATATAGGTCGGGCATGTCCTCCACCTTGCTTCTTGAAGTCAATGATCAGTTTTTTTTTGTTTTCCTGATGTTGATGGAGAGATTGTTATCTTTACATCATGTCACCAAGCTGTCAGTCTCTTTCCTGTATTCTGTCTCGTCATTGTTTGAGATCTGGCCTACCCCAGTTGAACGTGTAGATAGAGTTAAGACAAAATTTGGCCACACAGTCTCTAGCGTACAGGAAATAGAGTAAGGTGCTGGTGTTGAGGATTGTTGTGGAGGAGGAGTTGTTGCCCATTCTCACTGATTGTGGTCTGTGGGTCTGGAAGTCAAAGATCCAGTTGCAGAGGGCTGAGCAATGACCTTGGAGTTCAGAGATTAGTTTGATTGAAATTATAGTGTTGAGGGTGGAGTTGTAGTGAATAAGTAGGAGCCTGATGTATCCTTGTTAACCAGATGTTCCAGGGATGAGTGTAGGGCCAAGGGGATGGCGTCTGCGGTGGACCAGTTGCGATGGTAGGTGAATTGCAAGGAATCAAAGCAGGCTGGGAGGCTGGAGTTGATATGAGTGATGACTAACTTCTCGAAGCACTTTATAATTATGGAGATCAGAGCCACTGGGCGGTAGTCATTGCACACTGCATGAGTTTTCTTTGGTACCGGGATGATGGCGGTCTTCTTGAAGTAGGTGGGGGACTTCAGATTGGTGCAAGTAGAGGTTAAAGATGTCAGCAAATATTCCCACCAGCTGGTCCTCGCAGGATCTGATTGCACAGCCGGGGACTCCATCTGGGCCAGTCGCTTTCAGTGCGTTCACTCTCAAGAAGGCCAATCTGATGCCTGCAGCAGTGACTGAGGGAACAGGTGCATCTGAGGCTGTTGAGGCACCATTCACTGACCTTCTATTCGAACCAAGCATAAAATGAATTGAGCGCATCAGAGAGAGATGTATTTTTGTCAGCTATTCTGTTCTGCTTCACTTTGTAGCCCATAATGTAGTGTAGGCCTGTTTCCATGTGCTTTGGGTCTCTAGCTTAGACTGGTATTGCCTCTTGGCATCTCTAATGGCCTTACGGAGGTCGTATCTGAATTTCCAGTAAAGGTCAGGGTCATCTGACTTGAATGCCACATACCTGGACCCAAGTAGGCAATGGATTTGGTTCATTCATCTTCGATAAGGATATTTAAACTACAGTGTTGAGAGGAATGTATCGGTGTTTTGTTTTTAGTGGACACACCTGTTAATGTCTGAATGGTTAGCTGATAAAGTTTTGATGATTTAAATGGGTACTTTTTAAATGATAAGTACATCACTAGAATCTAATTTGTGATATTGGATGTGTAAAAATATCTACTGCTTCCTTAGATAGCATCTAAGTAGTATAGCTAAGAATAGAGGAGTTAGAATCAGGAACAATCTCTTTCCTTTTGACGTGTGTGAAGGAACAGCAAGATTAAAGCCATGCTTGAGAAAAAACTCGTCATTCGATCAGAGATTATTTAATATTTAATTTTTTAATTTAATTTTTTATTTGATCAGAGATTATTTAATATTTAATCTTTTCTCCAAAACTCATTGATTTAGTATAATTACTGTTCCTAACAATAGGTTGTTGATGAGGAGGAAGCCAGAAAGCGTTTAAAGAAACCACTAGTCCTTGCCGATCTCATTGATGAAGATGAAGTCGAGAGAAAAGTTTTGCTGTCAAAGCCAACGTGTTTCTTAATTGTGGGGAAACCAGTAAGCAATTACAATCCTATTAAAATAATATTGAGTATCACTTTAAAATCTATTTCCACTGCAATAATTTTAGTAATGCCTTTTGCTTTAGGAATGGGTGTAACAACAAAATATTGTAAATATGTATGTAGTTCATAGTTCACAGAATCCCTACGGTGTAGAAACAGGCCCTTCAGCCCAACAAGTCCACACCGACCCACAGAGCATCCCATCCAGACCCATCCCCCTAATCTACACATCCCTGAACACTACGGGCAATTTAGCATGGCCAATCCACCTAGCCTGCACATCTTTGGACTGTGGGAGGAAACCGGAGCACCCAGAGGAAATCTATGCAGACACGGGAAGAATGTGCAAACTCCACACAGACGGTTGCCCGAGGGCGGAATCAAACCCGGGTCCCTGGTGCAGTGAGGCAGCAGTGCTAACCACTGAGCCACTGTGCTGCCCTTAATCAAATATTATACCTGAAATCACCTATATTCCAAAATTATTCAAGTTACCTGTTCAAGATTTCTGTAGATCTATTTACTTGTTGTGTGAAGTAGCTTTAATATTTAGAAATCAATCAATCCTAAAACTAATGAATGATTTTTTTTTTGCAGTCTGTTGGGAAAAAAACTTTAGCTAAAAGCTTAGCACAGGCATGGAAGTCAATTTTGATTGAACGTACGTATTAGATTAGAAATTGCTGTGCAAAAATACCCTTATTCCTTTAAAGTATTTGGTATGACATGAATTTAATCTTTTGATTTTAGCCCAGCAACTTATACAAGAAAACATCGATGCAAACACAGAAATTGGGAAACAGGTAAAGAAACACTTCCTATGAAGAAATAGAGAACGTTTTTTAAGAGTAATTTGACTTTTCTTATAAAATAAATTATTCCAAATACATCCTTCATATGAAGCTCTGATTCAATGGCTACATGAAACTGACTCTCACTGAACATCAACATTGTTTTGAATTGTAAGGTAAAATTGAAAAATCTATGTTTATTATCTAACCAAAACACTCATGATGCTAGTAGGTATTGACAGTTATCAGGATTTTCCAATGAGGTGATTCCACTTCACAAATATTATCGTAGAGTATGATTTGAGTCAGTTTTTCTTAGCTGACTTCTGCCTACAGAGCTCCATCAGTCTGTTAATTCACTCTGTTCTTGCTCCAGACCTCTGGTAGAAAATGAAAGCAGACATTTATAGTACTAGTGGTGTCCTCATCACAGTGACCAAAGAAGATTTGGGATCCATTTTGAAAGAAATCCAAGTTGAACAGCTTGTGTTTATTTTTCATTTGAAAATTGAATCCAGCGATTTGTCTGCAAAATCACATTGACATTTGTCAAATTTTCTCAAGTTTTATTTTGCTTGCTCTATTAAATGTTGTAATGTGTGTCCCGGATTTTAATATGCATTCCTTCTTACAAACATGCACCCCAATAAACGATCATACTGAATGTATTGAAATCAAATTAAGCATATTGCAGTGCAAATGTATAAGGCCTGAACAACTTTGTTAGAAACTGGTATGTTTTTACAAATATTCCTATAGTTTCAGGAGTGTCTCCTTAGGGGTGAGAGCATTTATGAGGAGCTGGTAATAAACTTGATGCTGGATAAACTCCGCTCTCCAGAGGTTGCTCATAGAGGTGAGTACAACATCAAGTGTTTGCATTCATAGAGTCATAGAGTCATAGAGCATATGGCACGGACCAGACCTTTCAGTCTAACTTGCCCACATCAACCAGATGTTTTAAACTGATCTAGTCACATTTGCCAGCATTTGGCCCATATCCCTCTGAGCCCTTCCTATTCATGTACCCATCCAGATGCCTTTCAAATGTTGTAATTGTACTCACCTCCACCACATCCTCTAGCAACTCGTTCCATATATGGACCACTCTCTGCGCAAAATGTTGCCCCTCAGGTCCCTTTTAAATCTATACCCTCTCACCTTGATGACTCCAGAAATAATGGTCTTGATTTCAAGCACACTACCCTAGTAAGTCATGAGAAAAGGTTGTGCTATGAAAGTAATTCAAAGTTCTGCAAAGTTATTCATTCAGGGTGTTAAATATTCTGACTTTCCAAAAGTATGAAATGTGAGCTGAAATTTTCCTTCTAAAAAAACTGATGAACAGGTAACATACCTTGACAGCAAAAACTGCAGCGTATTCAAACTCGTTTCAACCTTATTATAACTTATTTTTCTGCTTTCAAAAATCACTTTTATGAGCATAACCTGAATATATTGTATAGATTTTGTTAAATTATTGTCACACAACTACCACCATAATGTTGTTATAGATCTTTACAGCTATTTTTAGATGCTGCATGTTTAAAAAGAAAACTGGAATTCAACGTTGTTCCAAGGACTACAAAACAATTTTGTTTCTATCTCTTGAGAAGACAAAGTTAACGTATGATTTGATTATGACTTACTGTGGTTTTGGCAAGGGGACAAACAAACACCCTTGACACCTTCATTTTATGCTAAGATACAGATCTGCCTTTTCAAAAGTAAAAGTTTACAGCTAGCCAAAACCACAGATTGACAAGCATAACACTGTTGTTTGAATACCACAGTACCTTATTGGGAGCATGAGTCAACACTTGTTACAAGATAATATCGGTAAGGTGGCCATCTTTGCTAGTAATTTTTAAAAAAGCAGGAAATTTCCAATTACTTCCAAACAGAATTCTATTAAAGACAGAGAGGGTGTCCAGCAAGCAAAACTATCTGACTTCTACAGTCAAGTGAGTTGTCAAAGTTCCTAACCACGGTGGCTTGAAAGAGAAACAAGGACTCTTTCACCTCTAACCTGTTGCATCTTCAAGTTTACCTGACAAACTTACCTCCAGATAGGTCAACCGTTGAGACTATCACAACTGCTGGGGAATTTCTGCATATTTTCACTTAAAACAAAAGTAACAACTCAAAAAGAAATATCATGCCTGAACCAAAATTGAGATCAAGTTAAATTCCATTTAGATTCTTCTTGTTTTATTTTTATCTTTGCATGTATGTTGATATTTATGTCATTGAACTATATGAATGAGACATAGTAATTTTGTTAACCTTTGGAGAATGGTGTGAGCAATAAAATAACTTTCATTTTAAATATACTAAAGCTTGCTGTTGAGTTATTTAAACGGACTCAGTCATTGTGAGGGTAAGAAAATATACACATCCACTTAACGAGATACATGATCTTTGGCAAATGAAAGGAAACAAGAAAATGTCCATGATACTGTTCATCCGCATTGTGTTGAGAAGATTTGCGGAGACTGAGGCTAATGTTTATAGAAATGTCAGCTGTATGGAGAATGCAAAACAGTTACAAAAAGCTGGATGACCAGTGCAATTTGTTATTAGTTAATTTGATTAGGTGATTTGGTAGTATGCTTTTCAAAATAAAAAAAACCTGTGTTCTTGTGGCCAGTGGTTGTAATTTGGTGATTGAGTTACTAGTTAACTTAGCGGATTTCAAACATAACAAAAAAAAAGCTGGCTCTTGTGTCCATGTTCTTGTGTTCTTAGAGAGGAAATATGTGGAGTCTACCAGTTTCCTAGAAGCTTTTAGAGAGAAGTGAGCACCACAAAGATTTGAAATGCATCATCTCTCCCTCCATCATGATCTTGGTTTGGTCCCCACCCTTGATCCCCCTTTGACATTTTTTTTGTTTTTGTCATACTGTCCCAGATGTATGGTATTTGTAGTAATTTGTCAGTTGGCTGTTTAGTTTAATTGGCGGTGGATTTCTAAAATTTAAAAATGCCAAATTCTTCAGGTGAATTGATAAATTGGTGATGGGTTAATTTTTAAAAAGGGTGCTGGATTCTTGTGTCCATGCCCAAGTGTCCTTGGAGGGAGCATGCAGTGTTTATTAGTACTCTCTGAACTTTCAGAGAGAGGAGGACACGGTTGGATGGGGAAGGGGGGAGTGTTAGAGTCCACTTTCCCACTCCAATATTATTTTCGATTCAGTTCACCCTCTTGCTACCTCCCCCTCTTGTTGTTTTTGTTGTCACACTGTTGTTGGTGGGCAGCGTTTACAGTGACTGTTAATTACATGATCAGTTTAATGGGTGGTGAGTTTCTAAATTAAAAATAAGTGTTGGGTTCTTTTCCTATGGGGAGTTTGCTCCTGGCTAGGGAAAGGGTCCAGAGGGGAAAGCTGAAAACTGGTTTTTGTGCTAAACTATAGGTATACAATGAAAACCTTTGGAATTTTGATATTGGTTTGTTAAATATGCTCTCCCCAGAGGGTTTGAGTTTGATTTTAGTTGCCATACGTACTGAGATACAGTGAAAAGTGTTGTTTTGCATGCTATACAGGCAGATCATACCATACAAAGTGCATGAGAGTAGCAGGAAAGAGTGCAGAGTGGTGTTACAGCTGCAGAAAAGGTACAGAGAGAAAGATCAATATTGACATATGAGAGGTCTATTCAAATGTCTGGTAATAATGGGGAAGAAGCTATTCTTGAATTTGTTTGTATGTGTGTTCAAACTTCTATATCTTCTGCCAATGGAAGAGGGTGGAAGACAGTTTAACCCAGGGTGAAAGGGGTCTTTGATTATGTTAATTGCTTTCCTGAGGCAGCGGTAAGTAAAGATGGAGTCAATGGATAGAAGGGTGATTTACAAGGGGATTGGGATGTGTTCACAAATCTATGTAGTTTCTTGTGGTCTTGGGAAGAGCAGTTGCCATACCACGCTGCGATGCTTCCAGATAGGATACTTTCTATCATGCATCTATAAAAATTGCTAAGATTATTTGTGGACATGCTGAATTTCCTTAGCCTCCTGCGAAAGTAGAGATGTTGTTGTGCTTTCTTGACCATCACGTCAATGTGGGTGGACCAGGACAGATTTCTCTGTCATTCAGTATATTCAGAGGTAGGATAAATAGACTATCTTCCAAGGATTATAGGGAGCAAACAGAAATGCGGAATCGATTCAGATAATCAGCCATGCTTGTATTAAATAGTGAATCAGCTTGAGCAGCTGTATTGCCTTCTCCTGCTCCTATTTCTTATGTTATTAAATGCTAATTAACAATACTTCTCTTTTTAGGTTATGTTTTATGTGAATTTCCTTGCCTATCCGAGGACTACTTGAAGATCCCAGAACAAATACAACTCATAAAAAGTTTGGAGCTAAAGCCTGACTTTATCATTAATATCAAGGTAAAACAACTCCTATTTTATTAATTTAATCTATTGAGCAAAGTAATCATTACATTTGTCATGACCAAATCAAGACGGGTGAACAAACTGCTGTCTGCACTCCAACCCTGACCTTATGACAATAGAGGTTGCATTTAAAAGATATTGCTAATTTAACACTTCACTGTGTATAATGGGTGTAAGAAATAAGTTTTCTGGTTTCTGTATGTTAATAAAGTGGGGAGGTGACAGTCTAGTGGACTGCGAATCCAGAGACCCGAGTAATGATTTGGGGACCCGGATTCGAATCCTGGCACTGGAGATAGTGGAATGTTAATTCAATTTTAAAAACAATTATAATTAAGAGTCTAATGATGACAATGAATCCACTACCGATTATCAGAAAAACCTGTCCGGTACACTAATGTCCTTTAGGGAAGGAAACTGCCGTCCTTACCTGGTCTGGCCTACATGTGGTTGACTCTTAACCCTCTGGGCAATTAGGGATGGGCAATAAATGCTGGTCTATCCAGTGACACACTCATCCCATGAATGAATCAAAAAAAATAATTTAATAGTTTTTCTTCTAAAATTCACTCCAGCAAAAAAGCAGAAATTGTTAACAAAATGTTTAAAATGTACAAATATATCTAACTACCTACTAATGCAAGAAAAAAAAACATGCAAACAACCTCCCGGTATTCAAAAATGTTAGAATTCTGCAGCGTATCAAATCTTGAAGCTTGGTGAAGTGAAATGTATAGCCTGGAAAAAGGACTTTTCACAGATTATCTAAAATCTTATTTACAGCTGAATGATCAATTTACATAGTAGTTGTTGATTCTCACTGAGCAGCCATGGCTAATTGATTGCTGAAGTGTAGGCGGGAATGTGGAGTTAAGACCACAATTAGATCCGCCATTGACTTGTTGAATGGCAGACCAAGCTTGAAGGGTGAAATGATCTATTCTACCTCCTAATTTATATCTTTGTATGTTCCTTGGAGACAGCGGTGTTCATCCATTGTTGTCGCTTTAAAAGCTCTCACCTTGCAGCCAAAACATCATCTGATGGATTTTTAACCTTCAAATCGTGGAAACTTCAGAAACAGAGAGAGAGGGATCTTCTGTTGTGTCTGTGGAAGTGTCTCACTAAATATTTCTTAGTCCCAGTATATTTTGAAGCCATAAACTGGGTCCATAAACATTTTTTCTGAAAGATTTGTAGACTTGGCATTGTCATCAAGCAGCTTGTGTTCTTTGAAAATTCACATTTTAGCTGTTGTAATAAGTGCCCTTTGCTTTGAAAACAGTTTAAAATTTTTTTGAAAAGAAGTTTAAGATACATGTCCAGCCTAAATATGAATGAAAATTAGAAATTAATATTTTAGATGGTGTCAATCATCATAACACGATAAAATGATAATTATGTCATTATATTTGGTAGTTTTTTTTTTAGATTTTAGAAGCATTAAGAGGTATAGGGAGAAAGCAGAAATATGGCATTGAGGTAGAGGAGCAGCCATAATCATATTGAATGGAAGATCAGGCTTAATGGTCCAAATGGCCTACACCTGCTCCTAGTTACTGTTCCTATATTTTTCATCCTCGTTTGCTGCTCATATCTTGATTTGCATTGGCCCATCCATCCATTATGTGTTTGTGTTTGTTGATCCACATTAGTTCCTAGTCCCTGAATTCAACCAAATTTAATTCGAACTTAAACAAAAAAAGATATTGTTGGAGAAACTAGCAGGTCTGGCAGCATCTGTGGAGAGAAAGCAGATTTAACATTTCAGGTCTAGTTTCTTTCCTTCAAAACTATATAGTAGCTAGGAATATGCTGAAGACAGGGGTTTGGGGTGGGGGTTGCAAAAGAGTTAACGATAGGTAGAGACAGAGCCCAGAGGGAGAGAAAGACAGACAAAGGGATGGATAATGTTAACTAAGGAGACAGAAAAGGTGATAATAGGGACCATTGTTGATGAAAATGAATTGGCTAAGCTGAAAGCACATTGTACATTAACGATCTGGACATAACGTCAGATGGAATGTTTCAGAGATAGTAGGAACTGCAGATGCTGGAGAATCTGAGATAACAAGGTGTAGAGCTGGATGAGCACAGCAGGCCAAGCAGCATTAGAGGACCAGGAAAGCTGACATTTCGGGCCTAGACCCTTCAGAAAATCTGAAATTTTCAGAATTCAGAAATTTTCTGAAGAAGGGTCTAGGCCCGAAACGTCAGCTTTCCTGCTCCTCTGATGCTGCTTGGCCTGCTGTGTTCATCCAGCTCTACACCTTGTTATCTCAGATGGAATGTAATGTGTGAAAGTGTGGTAGGAAGGATAGAGGCACAAACTATTTTGTAAATGGGGAAAGAATTTGGAAATCTGAAGCACAAAGGGACTTTGGAGTCTTACTTCAGGATTCTCTTAAAGTTAACATGCAGATTCAGTTGTCAGTTAGGAAGGCAAATGCAATGTAAGCATTATTTCAAGAGGACTAGAATACAAGAGCAGAGATCTACTGCCGAGGTTGTATAATGTGGTCAGATCACATTTGGAATATTGTGAGCAGTTTTGGGCCCCATATCTAAGGAAGGATGTGTTGGTGTTGGAGGGGGTCCAGAGGAGATGTACAAGATAGATCCCAGGGGCGAAGGACTTGTCATAGGAGGAGCGGTTATGGACTCTGGGTCTGTACTTGATGGAGTTTAGAAGGATGGGGGGGGGACCTGATTAAAACTTACAGAATTCTGAATGGCCTGAATAGAATGGACATGGAGAAGACGTTACCATTAGTAGGAGAGACTGGGACCTGCGGGTACAGCCTCAGAATGAAGGAACGACACTTTCGAACTGAAATGAGGGGAAATTTCTTCAGCCAGACAGTGGTGACTGTGAAACTCATTTCCACAGAAGGCTATGGAAGCCCAGTCATTGAGTGTATTCAAGACAGAGAATGATGGGTTCTTGATTCGTAAGGGGATCAAATATTAGGGGGAGAAGGTAGGAGAATAGGATTGTGAAACCTATCAACAGTGATCAAATGGTGGAGCAGACTAGATGGGCTGAATGCCTAATTTAGCTGCTGTATCTTATGGTCTTATGGACTTGGGCCTGGGATGTGGGGTGTGGAAGAAGGTGTTCAGGCCCCAGAATGATCTTAAAGTAATGTTAACTCTATTTCTCTCTCTTCAAATGTTGCCTAATCTGTTGAGTATTTCTAGTATTTATCTGTTTTTAGTTCAACTCCTCCAATTAAATGCTGCTAGGAAAGTAACAGTTTTACAGCAAAAATTGGGAGCCTTTTTAAAGCACCTGTGAACAGGTCTACGGTTCAAGGGGTGATGAGGGCCTAGTGGCATTATAGCTAGACTATTAATCCAGAGAGCCAGGTAATGTTCTGGTGATCTGAACTTGAATCCCACTATGGCAGATGGTGGAATTTGAATTTAATAAAAAAAATCTAGAATTAAGAGTCTAGTGATGGCTGGAAAAACCCATCTGGTTTACTAATATCCATCAGGGAAGGAAACTGCTGTTCTTATTCTGTATAGCCTACTTGTGAGTCCAGACCCACAGTAATGTGATTGACTCTTAACTACCCTCTGGGCAACTAGAGATGGACAATGAGTGCTGACCCAGCCAATGGCACCTGTGTCCCGGAAAAGAATTTTAAAAAAAAGAGAGCCAACCATATTGGCCAGAAATGGTGTTCTACAGAAGGGCATAAAAATTAGTGATTACTTTCCTCTTGCACCTCCAGGTATTATCACCAAAGAGATTGAAAGTTCATACTTGATATGTGCTAAGATTGTTGCTTAATGCAGAAAATTATGCTTCCAAGCTGTTTGTTGTTGTTTAATGCAGAAAATTATGCTTCCAAGCTTTTTACAACAAAAATTGTTTTACTAACTTTATGCAGTTAATAACTTCTGTTTCCAATGCTGGAATTAGTACATTATTAATGATGTTAATAAAAATATTAGTTCATAATTCTTCTGTCTAAAATCACGGTACAGAACAATGCTACTGGGCCTATTGAATTGCTTTCTTTTTGATTTAGAAGAAAATGTGTATTCCATTCATTTTTAATGTTTTAAGTATTCTTAAATGAGATTTGAGTTTATATAATAGCTGGTGCAATCTGGATTTATTGCAGTAAAGTGGTTCAGGCAAACCAGACATGTGATAACCCATTAGCATGGGTTTAAAATCTTTTTTGAGAGAATTTTTTAATGAAAATTTGAAATGGAAGTGTAAAGAACTAGCCAGTGTCTTATAAGACTTAATTATAGTTTATTAGTTGTTTGGTTAGTCAGGAGAAGGGAGATAATACTGGAACTATTAAAAAAATTGCTGCAGATAGTGTTGTATGCAGTTCTGGAATCCACATTATAGGAGGGGTGTGATTGTACTGGAGCAGGTACAGAGGAAACTCACCAGAACGTTATCTGGGCTAGAGAGTTTTAGTTATGGAGAGATTGGATAGACTGGGGTTGTTCTCCTTGGAGCAGAGGCGATTGAGATAGGATATGATTGAGATGTATAAAATTAAAAGGGATGTAGATAGTGTACATAGGAGGTAATTTCTCCCCAACGCAGAGGGATCTATGACCAGGGGCTTTAAGATTTAAGGTAAGGGCTGCAGTTTAGAGGGGATGTGAGGATTTTTTTTCCACTCGGAGGGTAATGAGAATCTGAAACTCACTGCCTCACTATTGGTGGTAGAGGCAGAAACCTTCGTAACTTTTAAGAATTATTTAGATGTGCATTTATGATGCCAAGGCGTACAAGGCTCTGGGTCAAGTGCTGGAAAATGGGATTAGAGTAATTAAGTGCTTGATTTTAACTGGGGTACAGACCTTGTGCTGAAGGGCCTTCTTCTGTGATGCAATCAATGACTCTATTTTAAAATTCTCAGCCTTATGTTCAAATTTCTTAATAACCTTGTCACTCTTGACCATTTTCTATAACTGCAATCTCCTCCAACTCTTTACATAACTATTTAGATTATGAC